GTCAAAGAAGCATTTGAAATACGTCTCTTGTGTACACAAATATGTCTTGTGCTGCACTTCAAAATACACGTTAATCCTTCTCTTTTACTGGAACATATTTAGGGCTTCCTGAACTTGTTTAGGCACTTCATACCTGGCAGCTGTCTCAAACACAAATACACAGATACGAATACATATCTATACCTGCTAATACAGACCAGGAAGGACTTGGCTCTCCTCTAACCAACAGAGGCCCAGAGCACATTATGGGGCAGGCAAGGGCTACTGGTCTGCACCTTCCTGGTACTCCAGGAGCCATCTCTGTTAACCAGGCAATGGGCACCGGCTGCTGCCCCAGCTCCACACACCTACCAGGATCTTGGGGAAAGCGCATAGATGGCTCCGAAAGTAATGCCTCCTATTTATTTCCATGGAACTACAATAGCCACAAAGAACACAATAACACTGTTAAATAGAGCAAATTCTCAGCTACAAAACACTGTTTTTCAACATAGTCAACACCACTAGCTGTGTATTTTTGCCAGTGATGAACAAGAACCTACATGCCACACTCAAAAATCCATACCAACAGAGGGCAGCCATTTTCAATACCTGACCACTCTTTCAGAGAAGAAATTGTTCCTAATATCCAACCTGAATCTCCCCCAGCACAACTTAGGGCCATCCCCTCTCATCCTATTACTGTTATCTGGGAGAATAGGCCAACACCCACCTCACCACATCCTCCATTCAGGTAGCTGTAGAGAGGGATAAGGTCTCCCCTGAGACTCCTCCAGACTGAACAATCCCAGCTCCCTCAGCCACTCCTCATAAGACTTGTACTCCAGACTCCTTACAGCTTTGTTGTCCTTCTCTGGACACACTCCAGGGCCTCAATGTCTTCCTTGTACTGAGGGGCCCAAAACTGAACACAATACTTGAGATGCAACCTCACCAGAGCTGAGTACAGAGCGATGACCACCTTCCTACACCTGCTGGCTATGCTATTTCTGATACAAGCAGGGATACTATTGGCCTTCTTGGCCACCTGGACACACTGCTGTCTCAACATTCAGCATTCAGCTGAGCATCAGCCAGCACCCCCAGGTTCATTTCTTCCACACAGTCTTCCAGCCACTCTGCCCCAAGCCTGTAGCACTGCCTGGAGTTCTTGTGACCAAAATGCAGGACCCAGCACTTGGTCTTGTTGAACTTAGAGTAGCAACAGCCAGCCACTCTGAATCCGTCCATCAGAAGAAATACCCACAAAATCAATCATATTGTTACAATACAAGAGCAACCTCTACAAAAAAACTCCATATATTTATATTTAGGAGAAGAGCTGTAAATCACATAATTCTAACACGATGAAATTTTCAAAAATAGGCTTTTTTAAAATTAATCTAGATGTACCTTAATTAAAAAAAATAAATATAATAAGCTGTTTAGGACATCTCTTATTCACTCTTTCTTTCTCTCCGTCAGATGTTGTCTTAATGACAAGAAAAAAATCTACAGGATATACCAGGTTTTAAATTGCCTCTTCTCAATTTTGTCCTAGAATATTTTATTACATTACCTCCCACCTTGCACTTATCAGTGCCCTTTTCGTTAGGTAATATCCTCAAAGTTTCTATATGGAAAGAAAATCGAAAGTATAAAAAAAAAAACCACTCTTACATGCAACTTAAGGTTCATATTAGTGAAGTTATATCACTATATACACACACACACACACACACACACACACACACACACACTCTGGTACTGGAAAATACATAATAAACTGAAATAAAAACAACTTTGTGTCTGTGTATAAGCATGTCTAATAGAGAGATCTACAGAGGCATATTTCTGTCCTTCCATCCTTACACTGGACTATGTGATAGTCACACAGAAAAGATGTTTCTTAATGTAAGCATGAAATATGTTCTTTAGCATGTCTGAATTATGGGCAGCCTTAATAACATTGTGTGCCATACTGATTCTCAGGGATATTCAGAAGAGCTGACCTGTAGGAGTACTACCATTCAACTAGCCAATGCAAAAATAACTACCATTGCCCACATTTTCATGTCATTCAACTGGTAAATATATTCATTTTAAGTTTTAAAAGTGCTGTTTTTGTCTATTAACTCTAGTTTGTAAAGGCTACTTTACACATAATTTTGTGCAGTTATAAAACAACTTTTTCATTTATTTTATTAAGACATGTTAATGGATTTCAGCCTTAGACAGTGCTGTCACTTAAAATCTCATATCACTTGGGTAGGTATCTATTTTTTCACTATCATATCCACATGAGAAAAATTGACAAAACCCACAAAAAATTTTAGAATGATAAAGGTTGTCAGGGTAACTAATTATGCACAGGTAAAAGGGTAAAATATTATTATGTAAATGGCAAAATAAAAGGAGGTAATTTACAACTGATGCAGAAAATTGCTGGCACAATAAGCACAGCCCATAAATCAGTTAGTTAACAACCTAATTTATAACTTCCTGAAAAACACCAAATATAAAAGAGACCTAGAAGGGAATTTAAGTGCCCCGCATCTTTTATTTCAGTAATGCACCTACTAAGGGCAACATTAATAGACCAGTAGCACGTTAAATAATTGATGCCATATTATTACCTTCCTCCCCACCGCACTAATGAGCAATTACTTCTTGTGATGACTGACTCCTTCCAACAGGGAAAATTGTCAAGTTTTTGTACAAGAGAAATGGCAACAGATCTCAGATTTGAAACTACCAACCAGAACGCCCATTTGTTCTCACACATACCAGCAGTGGCTGCGTGGGCCGTGATGAGAGAGGCACTTTTGTGTGTTCATAGGAATCCACTGGGAAGCACAATAGGAACTGAGACCTGCCTTCAACCCAGAGAACAACATGCAAATTTGAGAGTGTTTTTCAAAAAGCTATGCACAAGAAGCCATGTACCCTTTTCACTCTCACCTTTTTTATTTTCCTAATAATAATGAGCTACTGTGGGAATTAAAACTCCAACAATTGCATAGCTCTGAAGAAGCGATCAGGGTCACAATGGTTTACAGGCCCTTAACTCTCTCAGTTACTTCAGCAGAACATAAAAACTTCTAAACACTAAACTTCTTTATAAGTCCTATTGACTCAGGCACAGATCTAAATGATTTTCTGTATCAAGAGGAAAGCAAGTGGGAGAAGCAAAGGATGAATAGGCAGATGGTGTGACATTCTTCGACAGAGGAAGAGTACAGCTACTAAATGAGAAAGCAACCACAGGAACACATAGCACCTTCCAAAGAGACAACATGGTGGCAAGATGTTAATGGTAGACTTTCAATTTTCAAGAAAATAAGTGACTGTCTGTGTGGCACAGTAATAATACCTAACTAGAAGATAGGTATAGTAGAGTGGTAGCTTACTTTGGCAAAACCTACCAGCACTTTACAACAGACAGGGACTTTGGTAAGCACTAGTGTGGCTAGCCTGGTGATACTGCAGCATTTGCTTCAAGGACAGAAGCAGCAGCTGTACAAGTCTGTATTAAGAAACAGGCATCACTTCAGAAACAGTCTGGCAGAAATGAATAATAAGTAACTACAAGGTCATCTCATTTGTGACATTAACTCATTAAGCTGATTACGTGTCCATCTGCTCTGCTTTGCAAATTAGCGTTCTGTGTTCATCAGCAATCATAAAGCTGGATATATTATGACATAGGCTAGGAAATACATGTACAAACAGTCATGAGCACAGACCTGAGAGCACTGCAGTAACTCAGCTACGTAAATGCTAATTAATGACTTTGAATCATACAATTAGCCTACTGGAAGTAGGCACCTTTATAACAAGTGGACTATAAGGCAAGATTACATTAAGAAAAATGATTTTTCACTGTAATATGCACAATAGCAAAGCAACTTTTATCTAGCAGAACAGAGAGGGCTAACAGGGAAAGAACTGGGAGCAGAAACAGTCACCACAACCACCCTATTTTCTTTCTACTTGCCCAGTGAATTTCCCTAAAGCGTTCCCTAAGGGGATACCAGGAATTTGGTTCTGTTTCTCCTTCCTTCACCAGATGCTCATACCAAACATGCTCACACTCTGCTCTCTCTCCCTAAACCATGCTACACTGAGCTCATTTCACCTCTGTTTAGAAACACACACAAACATCTGTACTATGCTGGCATCAGATCAGCAAGCCAAATCCATTCCTGATATCATTGCAGAATGAATGATGCAGACATTTAAGACCAGATTAAATACAATGTTATGTAACTAGAACTCTTCTGGCGTGCTGAGATAAGACATCTTCCCAAATGCTGTTTTATGATTTATATGTTATGATAGTTAATGGATCAATTATTCAGAGCGAGCTCTTGCACTGTAACAGTATTTTTGTTAGCTACATATTCATGCCAAGGAAGGTGAAAACAGTATAGTCCTAATGGATATATTTCCATTCATGCATTCTACATTTTTCTCATTCTGCCCTAAGGCTATCGTTATACGATAAGGAAGGAAATTAGAATGATTCCTGTTGCCTCTCTTCTTTATTAGTCTTTAACGATATTTAATTTTCATGTTTTAATCCATCCTTGCATGACAAGGATAAAGCAGTAATATTTGAATGGCCTTTTGCCTTTTTTTCAGCCATACCTTAATAAAACAAAGTTTTCAAAAACCATGTAGAAACTTTTTTTCTGGGACATGCCTCCCTGTTCTAACTGCATTTGTAGAAGCAACTAAGGGCTTGAACCTGTACTCATCACCAGCATATGGAGTGACTCAACAGAGCACATATGCCTATATTTCTCTTTAAGCATACAATTAAGTTGATCCTTGTTCAACAAAGGATTTAAGCAAGAGCTGTTTTCTGTTAACATTGCTCAATGTCACAAGTAATCCTTTTTTTTTTTTTTTTTTTAATTAAGAGATTGATAAATGTAGAAATGAGACTAATAGAAGTAGACTATAAGTTGCCTACTGGTGATTTAGGGGGAGAGCCCAAGATGGAGGAGCCTTTCTTTTAAAGAGCCAGGAGAATGGGCAGGCCAGCACTAGGGTGGAAGCCCAACACCTGCAGCTGGCTTCAGAAGGAGGAGAAGAGCATGGAAGGAAAATTCAGGTGGAATAAACCCCTCTGACCCAGACATCACTGCCTCCTGCAGTCACGACTGAGCACCTGAAGCAAACCTTCAACTCAGCCTATCTACACATCTGCTGTCACAGTTCTTACAGTCAAACACCTGTTAATAACCCAACTCTACATAACCAGGCATAACACCGCCATCCATTCACACACAAATCTTTGGGGTTAGGACAAGCATCTTGTTATTTCAGATCCACTCTGATAGCAAAACAACTGAAAAAATATAACACTTCCCAAATCTCAGCTTAGAAGCATGGGTACTTCTGAATGTTTTACAAGTCTTGAGTATACATGGCCCTAAAATCTTTCTAAGTAATTCTTGCATTTCACATGCACCGTGCTTCCTAGTAGCACTTGGCACAATACAATTTTCCAGTCTTTGGATTTTTTTATTTTTATTTTTTGATATTTTAAAAACTTAGCATCAGAGCATCAAGGCATAATTTTGGAAAGATTCGCTTTCAGACACAAATGAGCAAAGTATCCCATGCCTGGATCCAGGAGCTGTGAAGTGTGAGCACAGGTCCTTTGGAGCCTAGATCCGAGTGGGCAGGGGAAGGACATGTCAGCAACATGTCAGCTTCCAACATCAAAGCAGGAAGCACTGGCATAACAGAAGCAGTTCTCCACAGGCAGATTAACTGCCTCCAGCAGAGCACTGTCAGTACATTAGCAAAAATTCAGATGTTCTGATTTATCCATCTTTCCCACTGGAACTGTTCCATGGATAAACACCCACGTTTGTTTATATCCTTATCTGCAGAGAAAGAGAGAAATAGCCAGGGGGCTGTGTCTGTTTTCTGAAACAGAGGCAAGCAGATTCAAGTCCTCACTCTGAGAAACAGCAGGATATTTGTCCAGCAATCACTCTACAAACTGGACTACTGGTTGTTCCACTACTGTGAAGGATCACTTTCTTTGAACAGAAAAGCTATGGAAGTTCAATTAACTAGCTTTCATTTCACTTAATTTATCTTGAATTAAAAAAAAAAAAAAATTAAAAGACTGACCCAGTTATTTCACACATAAAAGAAGCCTTTGTAGCAGGTGTAATATTCCTAGGAGGTGGTTAATGAGAAATACACATCAGAGATTAACTGAAAAGATTCTTTGATGTTGGTTAGCTTACCTGTTCTGAAACTAAAGAAGAAGATCACAAGGGAGACAGTGAATGTACATTGCATCTCTACTGGGGGCCATTACAACTGGTTAAACCACGGTCTCCCGGCTGCTTCACTTCAGTTCATGTTCTAGCTTTCTGAACACCACGCAGCCCCATACTAGGACACTACAGCCCAAGGAGACAGATTCCCCCAGCACTGCCCACAAAGAACCAATCTTCACCTGATGCCAGGGGGCTTTGATTTCAGCAGGGTTACTTCAGCATGAACCCCATCAGGTCACACAGCTCTAAAGATAACCTAAATGACATTTAAAGCTGAGGTGGAAAAAAATACATTAAAATATGGTTCTTTTTTTTTTTTCCCAGCGCATTGAACTCAACTGAACCAAGCAGAAGTAAATTCATTTCTAACAACTGTAACTTATTCAGAAGATTTGCTTTGAATAGACAGTCTTTAAAAATGCATAGTAGCAGAGGAGGGTTTTGTGTGTATGCCATTTGATGATGGTTAAGCACGAGCACTACTGAGCCAGAACATCAGTTAAGCAGAGATCTGAGAAAAACTTGTCTGACACTGTGAGAGTTCTCCCTCCCATTTCAATTACTGTAGCCACAGGAAAGGAGGCACCTATAAATTCCTGCGTCTTTGTGCACAAGACTGTAATCATAGCAGGAACCTCATCTCCATAATAAAAACTTTCTAAATCCAAACTATTAAATGGCCACAACATTCACATGTAACATTCATGAGAGAATGAGATTCATGACTGAAAATCATTAACAAGCAAGTAATAGTACACCCTTTATTCATTATTACATATTGACTGTATACTGTTATAAAAAACTCTAAAACACAGCTTCACATTACTTTATCAGAATAACTATTTTTCAAATGCAAAAGCATCAGAAAGGCTGAAAGGATTTTCTTGTTACTGGCTTAAAAGTGATTTTCATGCTTGAGTACATTACTATTGTTTAATAAGCAAACAAATGCACTTTACTGAGTGACTATCTGATTTCCTATGTGTCAGCAAGAAAAATGAAGGAAGCTGTCAGCCCCCAAGGAGACCTGCTAGTCCTGCCACACTCAGACTTCTTGAATATTCCCTGTAAATCACCAACATTTGTGCCATCTCTTAATGCACTCTGCAAAAATGAGGGAAATCTGTGCATTGTACTTGTTTATACTTGTACTTGGCTTAAATTTAAGCTCACTTTGGAGAGTTTGTGCTTGCTTAAAATATGAGTAGAATTTGTTTGAACATTATTAACACCTGCAAGAGGGGTGGGATCTAAATTTATGAATAAGAACAGAAGAGTGGAGCTGAGAGGAAGGCAAGGAGGATGAAAGAAAGGAAGAAAGAACAGGACAAAGAAAAGAAATGGTAACAGCTACAAAACACTTGCCAAAACTCAGTTTAGGAGCTGCACAGACAACTATCCATTTTTCATTGTATTGGGGCATCTCAGACTGTGCTGTCTAACGAATGCTTGCAAGATGTGCATTTTTTCTTTTCAATTAAACAGGAACATGCACTGATCTGTTTTTCAATGCATTCAAATGAATGTGACACAGAGATGTCATTCCAGTGGTGCAATATCAGTTCAAAACAGAGAATAACAGGGGCAAAACCTCTTTTTATCTCTAGGGATGCCAGCAGCTTTGCCAGCTTTCAGCACAGTTCAAACCCAATCTAGACACCATTTATCTGAAAAAGTAAGGAATGCCGATTCTGCTTTAAACACTGATCCTCCTGCTGGATTTGCTCGCAGGAGTTGACTACTGCCTGCCTTCCTTTATAGATATTTGTGAACTCCAAGGGTTTGTCCAGCATAAGCTGCAGAATTTTCCAAAGGGGCCTGTCAGGTGGAAGCCAAGACACTGGAAAAGAATGATGCTTTTACCTAAGAGTCTCATAAGAAATAGGAGCATGAAGAATTTCCATTCTTGGTCAGATCCACGTCTGAAATCATATCCCTGGCAGCACAGAGGTATCCACACTGGCTATAGATGAGGTATGTTATGAAAAGCCTTAAGACTGAAATTTTAATGCTCCTTTAATAAAAACTGGTAACTTTTTGATGTATGTTATTCACTGTTTTAAAAGAATGTAAAAGTACAAAGCAAAACACTAGGAAAGACCAATATCCAGCTTATGGAAATAACACTGGTCTGATCCTCTTACATGGTTCATTTATAACAGGATAGCAGAACATCTGCAAGACTAATTTTTGTGAAATTTCACTTCAACCTTTTCATAGGTTAAAATAATAAGCACCAGGTCATTTTTTCTGTTTAAATTGTTTAATAATCCTATATAATTTAAATTCTGCTCTAAAAGTAGAAATCATAACTTCTTATGGGTTCTCTTCACAATATTGTAGACAACTATTCAACATACATTCTGCAGAAAGTCCTCTTTTAGTGCTATTAGTGCTACTACTCTTCACTAGCTTCACTACAAAGTCATCCCAGCTTAATTTTCAGCTGTTTAACCTGAAGGCTGTCTAATTTGACCTATCTGATGTTTCACTGAAGCAGAAAAGAACACTGCATGGCCCATTCTGCTAGGATCAGAAGACATGACTTTCAGCATAGAGAAATTAGAAGCTGATGAGGAAATGACAGGAAGGCAGTAGGTTAAGCACCTCAACTGAATGCAATGTACAAGCTTTCTATTGCAATTGCTCTTCAAAGTTTTTCTACTTTCTCAGCAGCCATATCAAGAATGGGGATAACCTGGGACACCTGGTCACTTTCCCTACTTCTCTCCACAGTACCTATTGTTAAAAACTTTGCATTTTTAAAACAATTTGGCCCCGATTTATGCCACAACTACAAGAATATGGAAAGTGGGCTTGGTTTACCAAAACACTTACTACAACTCTGGATTAAATGACTGAACTTACCATTTTGGAAGAACTCAGTGACAAAGGTCAGGCAAGGAGCAGCTTCCTTGTGCAGTATCCAGCTGGCTCAGTGATCACATACACATCCTCCTGACCCTCCATACTCCTTATCCACCTTTCCTGTACTGCAATAAACAAGAGAGGCAGTGAGCAGAAATTACCTAAAGGAGCCAGCTACATCAACAAGTATGAAATTGTGTTTTGGATCAGCAATTACATGATGCAAATTTTTGCTTGTAAGACCATTACAGTTGCAAAGCCAGGAAGGTCTAAGGACTGCTACACCTTTCATCTGACAATTAAGGCCATTCTACTCCTGGACCTCATCTGCACTTAGAGGCGTGTTAGTGGAGCTAAGCGAAGCATACTGATGAGGGATATTAGTTAACTCACAGTACTGTCCAGGGGCAGTACTTGATCCAGGCAAAGACTTACTATAATCAGAGGATTAGAAACAGCAAAGTCAACACATAGATCATCCTAAAGCTAATTGTTTTCTTGTCTGACAGACTGTCAAGGCACCAAGGAGGCTTCCCAATAATATCAGTCCCCTGGTTCCATGGAGTCAGATATGCAGTCATGGATAACATCTGCTTATCAGCAGAAGAATATGAAGCATGTGGATTTCTCTGCTTATCAGCAGAAGAATATGAAGCATGTGGATTTCTGTGCTGCAACCTTCTTCTAAAGCATAAACTTCTAAGTGAGCCCTTCCACTGCAAAGCATTTCCACAAAGCTGCTGTAATAATTCTAGGATGAAATCTAAGTAATTTAACTAAACCACTGATGAGCAGATCAGTGAGCTAAGCATGAATATCACTGACCAACTTCAAAGACAGTTGTGGTTCCTATTGGGAAGAAATGAAGTTGTAGTTGATGGGGCCTTCATTTGCCAAAGACAAGTGGGTATCCAAAAAATTAAGACAATTTTTTCCTAGCTGGAAGGAAACACACTTAATTTCATTTCAAATTCTATTAAAGAATACCACATGGCCTGCGGAAAAAGAGGAAGGAGTCTCAGCAATTTAACAGAACAGAAACATTTTATGAGGAAAATCAAGCCACCACATTTCCAAGACAGTACCAGTCCATTTAAACCTGCTCATTCAACAGAGAGTTATCTACGAGCCTGGACATTTGTCTGAGGCAGTAATTTGCCTGCCTACTCCAGGAGCCTTGTAGGAGTTCTTAAAGCTTTTTACAGGTATCTTAGATCTTTCCAGCTCTCAAGAACACATTTATCACTTTTCCTACTCTGCTCTTCAGCTGCAACCTCAGATTTGCACAGGTCTTTAAGTGCTCTGAAGGTCTACCTGAATAACGCCAGCCATTTCCAGATCAGCCTTCCTTCTCCACCTGGTGACAGCCAAGGGGAAAAGAGACATTTGCACAGACTTCCTAGGGAAAGGTCATAATCCAAAATACAAATAGCTCAAGGATAAATGTGGGAGACTTGGGAACAGGGGAATCATTTGTTCTTCACAGACAATTATTGGCGATTAATCATTTACAAGGAGGATAATGAGACACTGGAGAGACTGCTACTGAATTAAACACAGAGGTCCTGATCTTTATCCCTTTCCATTTTTCCTCTTAATAAAATTGCATGGGATTTTCCTATACATGAGAAACTCTTGTTGGTAATTAAATTTTTAAGCTTTTGGAGATAAGACTAAAATGTGGAGAAGTAACACATAGCTGGGTTGGATGAGAAGAAAAGTCAGGAGAAAAGCAAGCCTGAATCGATACAGTGTTATTTAATTTTGTTGCAAATAAGAAAATTGATCTCTAGCAGAGAAATACATCTTCAGAACAATAGTAGTTTCGCTAATACTTGTTAGAGTGACATTAAGAAACTTTGTTTTGACTGTTTGATGGTTTACTGCTGTTCCTCATGAACTGCAGGCTGGAATGGCCGCATTGTCCATTCTCATCTACAAGAGAAGCTCCTGAACAAACTGCAACACTTTTTTCCTCTCTTATTTCTTGCCCTCACAGTAAGTTTCCTCATGGCCTGCATGTTTCTGAAGTTGAACTAAAAGTTCACACTATGTTCTTTGCTTTTTTTTTTTCCCCCTTTCTTGCTGAGCCATCAGCCTGTATCACATGATATGGATTCAGTTGGAAAAGAGCAACAGAGTTCACCCATATTGCTGTTAGCAGAGCTGGACAGTACACAGAAGTAGCTCTTCATCAGCTTTGCTTACAACCTATGAAGTAAATACTTGAACTTTCCTAAAATCAATATTTTTGTTTTAGCTATTTGATCAGATATAGGAGGAAGAAAAAAGGTTTAAATACACAAGTTCATTGTGGACTAGAAATTCTAGCTTTTGTTCAGCTCTGTGCTTTAAAAAAAATGAATTACATTGCAAAAGAATTACAAAAACAGGCAGTTTACCCCATACATTAGCCTGCTGTCTCTAATCTTAATAGTCCTGCTTGTTGCAATCCAGCAAATTCTGAAGGACTTACTGGTAAATTAAAACTAAATAATAAAATTAAATAAATAAAAATTACTTGCTTGCTTTTTAATACTTTTTGAGCACCAGAAAGAGAGGTAGATCTTTTCTACCTCTTATCAGGAGGACAAGTTTAACAAGAAATTCTTCATAGCTTTAGTTCGCCTTTTTGTCATTCAGCTTTTTAGGCCCCTTTCCCAGGGGCCAGGGTGCCAACAAATACCTGCCCCTTCCCTAAGTATTTTACCTCCAGTAAGTGACCACTTACTGGGCTCAGTACAGAGGTTATGAAAACCAGGGGAACCTCTTTCACCAGCATCATATCCGGCTTTTATCACATACCTGCCTACACACAGGTAATAAATGAGATTCTTACTATTCAAAGTAAAAATAGCCAGCAGAAAAAAATAAACCATTCCACTTAAAGGAGGGGACATTTTTTCCACCTGAAGTATATTGTTCCTTTCAATCATTTGCTTTCACAGAGATAGCAGTTAATACAGTTACTACAGACACAATTCAATGCGGAGCTCACAACAGGCATGTGCATGAATAAGGAGCAGTTTTGAGGCAGGGAACGAGGTAAGTATGCAAAGGAACAGTCAGCTGATTTTGCTGTCAATAAGTATGACAACATGCAACTCAAGCCATAAAATCTTCATTCTTTCTTCTATAATAACTTTAAAAGAGTTTTGGTTTATTTTTACCCACATTTAATGAATCTCCTAGTATGCTGAGATATAATAACATGTGCAACAAGTTCCAGCTCAATAGGATTTTTTTTTATAGCTGGTTGTTAAAGTGAGAAAATATGGGTTTATTGCAGAAGTGCTGACATAATCATAAATGCAATGGAGAGAAGAGCACTATTCTATTTCTGATACAATCCTATCCAAAATGCTAGTGGTCAAAGACTCAATCAAGAATTTTATTTTTATTTTTTTATTCACCTCTTTGGGGTGAATTTTTCTTAGAGTTCTGAGGGGTTTTGTGTTACCTGATTTTGTTAAATTGGGCCTATGAAACCTCTTCGCCAGTGATGCGCTGTTCACTGCAGATAACAAAATATTGAGTATTCTGAGCTGCAGTCAACTAATGCAGAAACTGAAGTCCTTGGATAACAGTTGTTCCAGGCACAGCCTCACACACATGCTGAGATTAAATTAAAAATTGAATTTGTTTGAACTCAAAAGAAATCTCAAGTGAGACAAGATGAACGAGATTCTGTCTTTTATACACAGATGAAATTTTAACTTGAAGCTGATGAACAAAAACCGTTTTCAGAATTTCTCTTGCACAGAAACCCTAAACAGCATAAAAATACTTCTTTAAAAAATATACAACAGTAGGTTCATGGTACAACATCGGCCGTTTTCCTAAATGCACTTAGAAGGGTCTAAAGCAGGACCTGAGGGGCTGTGAAAGTTCTTCAATCCCAGTGCTCTTCCCCCCAGAGATGGCCATGCCAGTGGGCCACCTACAGCAAAGGACCAATGGTAGCAGAGGCGATCCTCAGCCCAACACACATGGGTGGACAACAGTTGCGGAAAGGAGCTGATCGCCAAACCGCTGACAGTCTATCATTTCATGCTCAAGGCTGCAAGACACCATTTTGGATACCACCCTAGAACGAGGCAAAGCCACTATGCCTAGTCTGTGGAGGCACAGAGATGTGAAAACATAAATTTAGAAATCCAGCCTGATTTGATCAAAACTGCAGTGTTTCAAAGTAGGCTAAAACATATCTGAAAATGCCCATTTCTTTATCATCAGCTCTTAAACCAGTGCAGCTGTTCTCCAAATAGCTGACAGCATGAGATGCTTTCCTTAATTTGCCTGCCACTTTAGGAAGTTGTGAACCAGATATAAACAAGCCGGTCATGTGAAGAAGACGAGCCACCACTAGGAATATTACCAGTGACCAGGTAGACTTGTGTCTGTGCACACTGCTACCCTGCTCAGGTGTGAAGATAAACATGTCTGGGGCTGTTCCTTTTCCAACACAGAATTCCTCCACCACTGCCACTCCCCAGGGAGAGGAGACCACACAAGCAGCACCCCAAATTTTGATGATAAAAGCATCCAGCCCCCCAGGAGTGGGCTGAGACCAGAGGTTTATTTTAGATAAGCAAAATACAGCAGATTTGAATTAGAATGAACATTCCCTAATAACAGCTTTACTGTATTACAGATTACTTTCTCAAGATATAGTAGTTTAATTCTGTGTATTTCAAAGCAAATGGAATTGTTATTTGACTAAAGCAGGCAGAAATGAGACAGAGATAATAAACAGACCACACACAGAGCTAAAAGAGGATGCACATTTTCTGTTCAGCTGTATTATCTACAAGTGAAGGATTACCTACATCACAGTGCCAATTTTCTATGGGAATGATGCCCTCTGTGGCTCTTACCCATTCAGGTTACTATCAGTTACAGCCACAGTTGTAACTGTTCCAGTCATTTCTGTCTTTAGCTTTCAATCCCGCAAGCACATTCCTGCCCTAAACATTATAACCTTCTTTGAAAGGGAGCAGTTAAAGAAAAATGCAGTTTCCAGTTATGTCCAACTACTGTCATAAGCCAATTCTGTCACAATGACAGTTCTTTGCTTTTTTCATTGTTTTCACTATTTACTGCAGCAAAAATGCCCCTTGTCATT